GACAACAAATACATATCTATCAACAAGTGAATCTAAAAATCAAGTCAATAAAAAATCTGATGAACAGAATAAACTGGTGATTATAATAGAATCAGGGACATAGAAAGGGAGTGGACTGACAATCCTCGGGGGGAAGTGGGTGTGGGGTGTGCAGAAGAGATTGGACAAAAATCTTACACCTATGGATGAGGACAGTGGCGGGGGGTAAGGGCATGGGGTGGGGTGGGAACCAGGTGGAGGGGAGCTATGGGGGGAAAAAAGAGGAACATCTGTAATAATCTGAACAATAAATATTTATTTTAAAAAATTAAAAAAAGAAAAAAAACTAATAGCTAATATCACCCTGGCCGGTGTGGCTCAGTTGGTTGGAGCATCGTCCCATGCACCAAAGAATTGTGGGTTCGATTCCTGGTCAGAGCACATACCCAGGTTGCGGGAAGCAACTGATCAATGTTTCTCTGACATTGATGTTTCTCTCTCTCCCTCTCCCTTCCTTTCTCTCTAAAATTAATAAAAAACACATAAAAATAATAAGAGCTAATATATTTAATGTAATAATAGCTAATATTTAGTTATTGTTTGTGAGAACCACGCCAGAGTCCCCAGATAGTCAAGGCTAATTAGAGTGTGGAGGCCTTGTTGATAGTATGCTGGAATGTCCAGGGCTACTCTGAACACGCTGCAAGCCCACAGCGATCTCACGGTACGCTGTGCCCTTTATAACCCAAATGATTGAGGACATCGTTGGCTAGAGGCCTCCTTTGTCTAAATGCATGATACTGACCAGCTAGAGAGGCAGCTGCTGAGATGAAGCTGAGAGATGGTACTGCTACGATGTAAGGCTAAGAGCTCACAGAGAGCTCAGATACAGCTACCATGTTAACCAGCCAGCGTGCTGGGCAGGGGAGACAGGAGAAGCTGCTGAGGCAGAGAGCTCAGGTGCCGCTACTATGGGAGGCAGTGAGTCTAGGGGGCAGCATGCGGAGAGAAACGTACTAGTTCAGGTACTAGCTGTGGGGACAGAGATTAATGCTACTATGTGGGAAAGATATGTGTTCACCAGCCGGTGTCTGGCTGCCTGCCTGTATGGACTTTGCTGTGAGGACTGTGTTGTCTGATGGCCATGTGGCCACTGGCTTCTGTAATAAAGACTCATTCTTATACACCCACAACCTCTCATGGCTTCTCTAAGACCCAGCATCCTAGGAGGGCCAGCCCCAGGGAGAGGGGCTCAGACCCAACACCTGTAACTAGTGAGCAGAGGATAAAGGAGGAACTTGGACTAAGTCCCCAACAGTTAGTGTAGCGGGTAGGGCTCAAGAAGGAACCTACTCTAGCGTAGTCAGGAAGAATTTAGAGAAATATATGGATTCAGAGCAACTCAGAGCAGCAGTGCTCATGCAGAGCTCTTGCTGCCTCTGACATTGTTCTAACGGGATCATGTATGAACTTACGAAGAATTTATAAAGAAACAGGTAGTGAACTAATATTCCTGTATTGTACAGTAAATAAGCAGTGTGACCCCCAACAGTTAGTGTAGCGAGTAGGGCTCAAGAAGGAACCTACTCGAGCGTAGTCGGGAAGAATTTAGAGAAATATATGGATTCAGAGCAACTCAGAGCAGCAGTGCTCATGCAGAGCTCTTGCTGCCTCTGACATTGTTCTAACGGGATCATGTATGAACTTACGAAGAATTTATAAAGAAACAGGTAGTGAACTAATATTCCTGTATTGTACAGTAAATAAGCAGTGTGACAAGATAACCAGAGTGGGATGTGTGAGGTCTATTTAAGATGGGAGAGCCCCTCTGAAGGGGTACCATTTGAGCTGAGATCTAAATGAGGAGGAGGAGGAGAAGAAAAAGGAGGAGGAGGAAGCAGCCTTGGAAGGAGACAAAGGGGGACAGGGAAAGCGCTGGCATGTCTGAAAAGCAAGAAGAGACAAGCTATGGCTGGAGCATCATGAATGAGGGGAACGTGGGTCAAATGAGGCAGCAGAGGTGGGCAGGGGCCAGGCTGTGCAGGGCCTGTGGGCACCGACATCAGATTTTTTTCTGAGAGCATCACTGGAGGAGCCATTTAAGGGCTCAGACAGACATAGCGTAACAGCCCCTCCCCACACCCACTCCAGGCCCTGATGACCCTCCTGCCTGCCAAGGGCATGTGCCTAACTGGGGGAGGCTGACACAGCCACAGGGGACTGGCCGTGGCAGGAGGCAGGCCAGGGAGGGGCCTGAGCAGCTGGAGCTAGCCCAGGGCCCAGGTTGGTGAAAAATCTCCTGAGTTCAGACCCAAAGACCCACCCTCAGGCGCCCTCTCAGCTCTGCCTCTTGAGCTGCCATGTAGTGAAAGCGGAAGGCTGAGGCTGTGCCCAGGGCCGATGTCTGCGTGTCTTCATATGACCCCGTCAGCACCAGCTCCAGCTCCAGCTCCAGGTTGTCCTGGTCTAGGTAGAGAGCGAGAAGGGTAACATGAGGGGAAGGACCCAAAATACCGGCAGTACTGCCTGGACGTGATGAAGGCCCTGTGGCTAGACCATGGCAAACAGGATGCTGGAAAGGGCCTCCCCAGCCTGCTGGGCCCCATCCCCCATGGAACGCCCACCTCTTGTGACATGCCCTCCTCCAGGTCAGGGGGACCCTCCTGCCCAGACGAGACCTGTTGCCCTTCTGCTCTGTAGGCAAGAAGAGGCCAGCTCTGCCCTGCCGCTCACCCCCTGCCCTGTATGGGTTTCCCAGCCACCCCATCTACTCCCCACATTCCAAGCAGAGGTCAGACCTGGTTCTGAGCGGGTCTCACCTGAGTCCTCGGCTGCGCTCCCCGTGCTCTCCAAGCGGATATCCAGGCATGACAGCTCTCGAGCCTGGGGCAGACCACATCATGGGCAGGGGGTTCTGCTGGGGAAGCTTCGGTCCCCTCAACCTCACCCGCTGAGCCCCACTGTCCCGAATCCACCACACACAGAACAAGAAGTGGGGTCCAGAGTGGAACTGGACCAGAAAACCCTCACCCCACCTCTGATGCGCTGAAACTGCTAAGCCAGACGTCCGGGGACAGCCAGGGGAGCCCCATCTCTACTCACCCCCAAGCTCTCCTAGATTTGCCGAACTTCTGGAATCTCTGCAGGCCCCCCAGCTGCCAGGCACAGTTTTGTGGTGTGTTTCTTTTTTTCAATCTCTACGTTTTTCTACAGCCTCAACCTGGAGGATGTGTTCATTCTACAACTGCTCCCTAAGAGTATTATACAAACCACCCGTCTACAGGGTCATGAAATGGGTCAGATAAATCCTTGACATTTTAGCAACTAGAGTACCTCCCGACTGCCCTCCACTTAACTGACTTGCCAAACGAGACTGCTGCGTTCTCTCTGTAATGCCTGCCAGCTGCCAGCTGCCCACTCCTGCAGAACTGAGTTCATCAGCATCCCCCGGCCTCCATCACCTCAGATAAGAGGCAGCTGCCATGGGATGACTACTTTAATGTGTGCAGGCATACCTCGAAGGTAAAATGAGAGTCACAATAAAGTGAGTCAGAGTCTTTTTGCCGGTGGAAGGTCTTGTCTTCAATTTGTAAACAAATGCAACATCTCTGAAGAGCAATAAAGCGAAGCCCCATACAACAAGTATGCCTGCATTCGCAAAAGTAATACTAGTCCATCAAACAGGCAGTCGCAGGACCCTGAGGTGGTGCCTCCTTCAATTTGGGGCTCTAGGTGCCTATTCACCTCCTGCTGGGCCTGGCCCTGCTCCCAGTCGGCTTGCTTGTGGGGGACTGCACTTTGAGTAGAAAGTTTCTAATGCGTCTCTCGCCACCATGTGTCCTTTCCTCTCCATGGCAGCTTTGTGAGCTTGCCGTGTTTAGGATTGCCGACCAGGACTCTCCACTGTCTCAAGGAAGAGCTGACTGACCCCCCTGACCCTATCCCAAAGCTCCCAGATTGGAAGTGCACCCCCCTGGACACCCGCCCCCCCGAGCCTCAGTTACCTCCATATTAACTAATAACCTGAGCGAGGCCAGGCCCACATGGCTTTCGGGCCAGGGCTTCCTCTTTGGGAGCTGAGAACTATGAGTTCATTACAGGTGACCAAACACATCAGGATGGACTAACAATTCTCCCATCACCCCCTCAGCCATACAGCCAGAGGGGGTGATGAGTCAGAACCTTCTCACAGCAGAGCCTCAGCCTCCCTCTCTCCATGTTCCCTTTAGCCCCGCTCAGCCCCCCATCCCCCAAACACATTCCCAGGTGACCACCTAGCTGGGAGGCCAGGGGTGGTCTGCCGCAAAGCCCGGTCCTTGCTTTGTCCCATCTGGCCCACCCCCACCTCAGCTCCCCTCATAAGCCTGGGAAGGCAGTGGTTACCACAAGGACGTTGTTGGTGATGAGATTCTCTGGGCGGTCTGACCTGGAAAATCAAACCGTCCACAGTCTGGCCTTGGAAAAGCAAAAGCTCCCTATGCTAACCTGCCCCCTCCCAGCCCAGGCTCCACCCACGTGGGGACTCCTGGATGATGCTGAGGGTTCTCTAAGTCCTGGATACTATTCAGGGTGCGGGGAGATGCTTCTGAAGAGTGAAAGGTGAAGAGAGAGAGAGTAGGGCAGAGAAAATACTGACCTTCCTCTCCTCATTTCTCTAAAAGGAACCCCTAGCCTGGCC